CAATTTGAATGCCAATTTGTATGGCTTATTAGCTTATCCTGAATTGTATTCTCTTTTATAAGTCTATATTTGCCAGATGAACAATCAAATCTGAATTGTAATTTCTGAATCTCCTGTATGAGTAGACACTCATGAGTCTATAGTTACTGGATGTTGGTAAATGAAACAATCTGAGCTGATCACTCTCTCTATATGGCTCTACACTTTAATCAACTCCAACTCCAAGTCCAAGTCTCCTTAAGACACTCCACCTGACACCTGTATAAATCAGCAACCGCAGATTATGTCTAAGCCGAAGCTACTTGAACTGATTCCTCTAGTTTCGAGTCTCTACATATTGTATGCAGTGGTCTGTTCTAGCCGCTGTCGGCTGACGGCTGTCTGAGCATGTCCTTGTTGAGAAGGATACCTGGGCAGCAGCAGCAGCAGCAGCAGCAGCGCCCAGGCCGACGTGCAAACTCTCATGCATAACATGATGTAATGTGTGACATGTACGCTCCCTTAATTGGCTGCATTATTTATGAGCCAGGACTCGGAACTTGGGCCATGGTCCATGCTCTATGGCCATCCACTGACCAGCAATGACAGCCCACAATAAAAGGGTTGACATATGTGTGTGTGTGTGTGTCAGTGTGTCTGTGTGGGGCGCTCTTCAATCAGAACGTCAAGAGAGCAAATTTGGCTTCTGCTCGGATTTGGTTGCGGGCGAAAACTATTGTATCGCTCGGCTGCATAAAATATTTACGAACTCAATTTAGCATAACGAAATGTTTTTCGTCTTTTTGTTTATTAGCTAACTGACTGAAGGATGAACATGTGTGCAGGATATGCCGGAGGATATGTTGGAGTACAGTCCGGCCGGTCCATTGATTATCGAGTCAGTGGAGTGTTCTTTGAGTTATGTTCGTGCCATGCAGAAACCATTAATTAAATGCCATACCGATGGCCCCTAATCAGCCAGTGTCATTTGTCTGCGCTCTGCCAATCATTTGTCCCCAACAAAAATCCGGGCAATGCATCAATGTGGCCCGCCCARGGGAGGCGCATTSAGCCCATCTATTGGGAATTCATTTCTGTTAGTTTCATAATGTGAGAGCAGATATATATATATATATATATATGTATATATATACATGTTATATACATGCATATGTATATATAATGAGCGTCGCGGTGTGAAGCACTGAATCTGAGCAGACATCCGGTTGACCGTGCAACGCTTATTGCTGGCCAGTGTTGGACATTCTACAGAGACGAAGACAGCTACACTGTACAAAATCTTGGGACAGTTGCTCAAATTCGAATTCTATTTTTGCAAGGAATTGCAAATTTGGAATTCTTTAAACTAAATCGAAAGAGTTTAAGGTCCTAGAGAAAACTATTTATTATACTCGGTATTACCCAACTAAGAGATTCCCTGAAACCTGCGAAGTGCTGTTAATCCGAAATGCAAATTCGAGGGAATGTGACTGACGGACAGACAGACGATGATGATCAACTCAACTTGGTCTATATCTAAGGAGTCTGCCACGCCTCCTTCTGCCTATTCCATACACTGTCACAAAAAAATATAACAGCCTGAAATCCCATTTTCAATAGCTTTAAGAAACGAAGTTGATTGGAAAATGAATCCATATAGAAGGAAATTCATATAAAATATAATCCGGTTATAGTGACCCCGCTTATGCGGTTATAGCGTCTTACGGGTATAAGAGCGGTTCCTTAAGAGTCGTTATAACCGGATACTACTGCATGTGTGTCCACATCCACATCCAATCCACATAAATATAAAAACATTGATTGAAACAGCTAAATTGATCAATTTTTTAGCGTGTATTAAAAGATATGCATATATATACATATATATGCATATGTATATGTATATATACTGCAATGGTCTGTCTGTCCGTCCGTCTGTGTGTGCGTTTGGGAAAACAAGTCGCGGATCGCGTCCTCGGCAAGGGTAAAAATAAATTACTTTAAACGGTTTCGAATAGCAAATTGCAGATTGTCATTTCAAAAGACATACCTTGCCACACATATCAGTGTCAATGGCTAGGGACTGTCTGTTCGCTGGGGCACGGGGAGCGGGTCCACAGCTCTCTGTCTCCCTCACCCTCTCTCTCTCTCACTCTCTCTCTTCTGCATGTGTGTGCAAAACTTAAAATGACGAATGACCACAAACAACAACAACAACAACAACAAACACACTGAGAGCGAGAGAGAGAGAGAGACTTGTTTAGGGATAAGGGTTCTGAAATCGGGATCAGACGAACTAAAGCCACGAACGGCAATAATAAAAACTTCAAAACAGCATTTTCGCCAGAATTGAGATTGGGTTGAAATTTTTATAATTGAGTTTGAGTTTGAGAGCTGAGAGCAGATTTCGTATTCCGTTTTCGCATATATTTTCGTTAATCTCTTCTTTTGTCCCACACGACAGCGACGGCGACGGCGGCCAGCAATCAGCAATCAGTTAGGAAGTAAGCAAATTAAAACGATCCAAAGTGGAACAAAGTGCGCGTTGCACATAAATATAGAGCTCAACTATTGCAGCAAGCAGAGCGAGAAAGCGAACAAAAAAAAAAAAAAAAAACACCGCTATTGCTGCTGAATTATTGACATCTGTTGCTCAGACGCCAATCGCGGGCAACAGATTACGAGCAGCAGCAGCAGCAGCAGCAACAAGCAACTGGGGGCATGCCACATGCAGCATGCAGCATGCAGCTTCTCGTCATTATGCATGTTCGAACATGTGTACACACAGTATGTGTGTGTGTGTGTGTATGTGTTGGTCTGTGCACTGTGCACTTTACTCGATATCGTTATGGCCATGTAGAGCCGGCCAATAATAAGTACGAGTGCAGCACGGCCAACAACTCCCAACGCTGAGGTTCAGCTGCAGCTTCAGCTTTGGCTGCAGACAAATGCAATTTCGCTGTCCGATCATCGATCCCTTCTGTTTTTATGCTCGCATGTGGTGCACTATACCAATATATGTTGGCGGTGGTTCGGTGGGGCAGTTGATGTTGTCGTCGTCGTCGTCGTCGTCAATCGTCGCATCGGCTCCAGGCTGAGGCTGTGGCTCAGTCTGAAGACCACTGGCACTGACGCCCTCTCTTTGCCCCTACCGCGCCTCTACCCCTCCTCAGCTTGGTTTTTGTTTTGGCTTAAGCTGCTGCTGCTGCAACTGCTGCTGCTGCTGCTGCTGCTGCCATAGTATCAAGAGCGTGTAGCAAAATTCGTGCCGTGACCGCCCCTTTCAATTCTGTATTATCAGATTAGCTCTTTTCATAAGCCATTTGTTGTTGTTATTGTTGTTGTTGCTGTAGCTGGCGTAATGCTATTGACCGCTAGCATTAAGTTACGAGCCAAAGCTAAGCCACTCAGCCAGCTAGTCCAGCCAAGCCAAGCCAGCAGCCATATGATGCTCTATGATGTTGTTGATAATAATAATAACAATAATAATAATAATAATAATGAAAATGAAAATATAAAAATAAAACTAAAAATAATAGTCATAACAATAGTAATAACAATAATAATGCTGCTGATCATCATCACGACAGGTGTAGCTAAGAGCCAATACGAAATATCATAAGAGCCCAGCTTAGTCCACGATTTGGCCATAATTATGCATAACAGCAGCAGCAGCAGCAGCTCAATCCCCGCTTAGTTTAATTGAGCTTGATTTGCAAGCATATTAACTAGCATTGCAGCTTGTAAGCTTGTAAAAGCATCAAGTGTTTTGTCAACTTAGTCCAATGGTCTTAAGCCGCTTGCGGTTAATATGAGGATAATGTGTGATTTAGATGTGTTTTTTGCTTTTATGAAAAATTGAGTCGGGTGAGCTGATAGTGGTAGTGTAGCTAGAGAGCCTAAAACTCAATAAGTATCTGATATTTCCACAATTATACGAGGTACACTGTATTATCATATAACAGATCATAGAGCTTTCTTAGAAATTGTAGATCAACCTGCTAAATTTCCCTTTTTCCTTGATATTGGATTGCTTCAAGAGTAATTTTTTTTTTATATTGGATTACCCTATAACATATTTTATATTAT